GTAATAAAAGTTATTATTAAAGATATTATGAAATAAATATTATTATTACTAAAAATATTATTAAATAGATATTATTATTATTAAAAATATTATTAAATAGATATAATTATTATTAAAAATATTATTAAATAGACATTATTATTATTAAAAATATTATTAAATAGATATTATTATTATTAAAAATATTATTAAATAGACATTATTATTATTAAAAATATTATTAAGTAGATATTACTATTATTAAAAAAATATTATTAAATAGGTATTATTATTATTAAAAAAATTATTAAAAATATTATTAAAAATGTTATTAAATAAATATTATTATTATTAGTAAAAATATTATTAAATAAATATTATTATTAGTAGTAAAAATATTATTAAATAAATATTATTATTAGTAGTAAAAATATTATTAAAAATCATTCTCAAAATCATCAAAATAGAAAATGTAAGAATAATTTAAACAGAATTAACTGCGAAGATACCAAAATAAGAAATGTAATTTAAAGTGGGACGTTATCCGCAAGTTTTCTGGATTTTTACAGCCTTCACCGAATTTGATTTTATTAGGGAAATAAATAGCTTTCAGTTTGCGACAAATTCTGAGAGAAGTTGCTAATCCTTCGGCCGTAGTGGCAAAATTATGACAAATCATAATTACAAACAGAAAAGGCTAAAACCCGAGAACTGTTGTTAACTTCGATACCAAAATAGGAAATGCAAGAATAATTTAAAGGAAGGTCACGAAAATAATTATCAAAACCATCAAAATTGGAAATGTAAGTACAACTTAGTGACCTCCCTTTAAATTACATTCTTGCATTTCCTATTTTGCTATTAAAGTCAACTCTTTTGTTGCTCATGCATTTGCCTCTCCTACTTGCAATCATGATTCGTCATAATTTAACACCGTCTCCCAAAATTCGTCGCAAACAGAAAACTATTCGTTCCCCTAACGACATCAAATCTCTGCGAAACCCGTAAAAAAAAATCTAGAAAACTCGCGGACAACGCGTTTATCGGAGACGATGCTTGACCAATTAAGAATTGAATGGGCATTGTCCGATGCTGATTGTGACTGGGGGGACGGTGAACGTGTTAATCACGCGTTCGGGCACGTTCCGCAATGACTGAGCGTGTAGTAATCGGTCATTCATGGGGTTAGAGCTTGTCACGGCATCGATATAGGAGTGACGCATGCACGCCCGGTAAAAATGTCCGGCATTACGTAAAGAGTACGAGGTTCGGTCGGCCGATTATGTGGGCAGTTGATCTGGCCCCCGTGTGCGCCGATGGAAAAACGACACACGCGAGCGTGCAATATGCATCGTGTAACATCGAATACGTGACCGTTCGAGCGTAACGTTCCCCAAGAATGTTCATACACGCGTTCATACAGCAGGGAGTCCGGGTACGAGAGGTTCTCCGACGTACGTACCATTTACGTCCTACCTAGCCACCGTGAGCAATAATAATTGGCTCCGAGAGAACCGGGACGGTCGCTTTCTCGAAAAGCCGGGGCGCCTTCTCGAATTCGCTCGAATTCGAAATCCAAACGTAACCGGCGATAATTCTCAATTCGAGCCCGGCCGCAACTTATTCGTATCAACATTTCAATTTAAACTCGGCGAGCGTCGCTCTCCGCGATCATTAGAACGTGCTTAGTCTCGATACGGTAATCTGTCTCTCTAATTGACGCTCAGATTGTGCACGAAAATGGACAATTCGGGAAGAGCAGATACGATTGTTCGAGCCTCGCAGCTCGTTCATCATAATTTTTGATTATCGGCAACTGTAAAAATGAGCCGCGATTTTCGTTTACAAGCTGAAGAAAAGTTGTTGAGGAAGGTTGAAAAGTTGTTAACAATTGATTACCATAACAAACGAGCCACAAGGCTGGAACAATCGTATTTCATTTTCTAAAATTGTCCATTTTTGTGAGCAATCTGAGCGTCAATTAGAGAGACATTACTGTATCTCGATGTTTTAATATCGATGTTTTTGTTATTTTGTTGAAATATCGATGTTTTAATATCAATATGTTGTCAAATATCTTTAAGTCTTCGAATATTGTTGACTGTAAACGCTTAATCTTCCAGTTTTCAAGCATCAACGCTAGGTTTACGGATCCCGTCAAAATGGCGGGTCACTGATTTTTTAATTTACGATTATCCATATCGTAAAGATACATTTATTCGTTATTTATTTAATCTATACGTTACTTACGGCGAATGTTACAATAACACCTGTTCAAAAGCAGAATAAATATCTCATTGCTACTTTTCTAAACTGCTATAAAACAGCCGTTTCTCGTGCTCCGTAAATCTAGCGTTAATAACAGAAGATGCTAATTGAGATGATTTTCATTTCTCAGGCATCGATGACCCGATTACGATTATCCATATCGTGAAGATACATTTTATGTGTTATTTATTCAATCTATACGTTACTCACGACGAATGTTATAATAACACTTGTTCAAAATCGGAATAAATGTCTCATTGCTACTTTTCTAAACTGCTATAAAACAGCTGTTTCTCGTGCTCCGTAAATCTAGCGTTAATAACGGAAGATGCTAATTGAGATGATTTTCATTTCTCAGGCATCGATGACCCGGAAGTTAAGAATACTCCATCTGTCTCTCAACTATCGCCGTTTAACGATGCATCAATAACAGAGGATCATCTTTTGATTGTATTTATTTACCTCGCAGGATTCTGCTCGCTACATCGTTTATCCTAGCTTAATATCACTTAGAAATAGCTAAAAAAAAAGAAAAAAGAAATCTTAATCGGTTGTACCGCTGATACACGGCCCGATGGTGCACACGTGAATAAATAAATTAAATTAAATAAATAACAGTCGACGAGGCGCGCGCCGTTTGGCCGCGTCTTATGCTTCGTTTTCGTCGTCCCTTTCCGGGGACGGCGGTTCCGTCGGCGACTCGGTTGGCCATTTCCCCACGGTGGCCGCGGGATCGATAGTCGACGGATCGGTGATAACGATGGGCCCGAGAGGTTCGGCAGTTTGTTGCTCCTCTTTCGCGGCGTCCGCGTCCTTGTCGTGGCTCTGCGAGCCCTCGGACAGTTCCGGCTTCAGTAGAATCATCTGCGGCTTCGCCTCCAAATCGGCCGAATCCGGCAACGGTGGCATCAGGTCCGTCGACGGGACCATTGTCTTAATTTGACACTGGCGTCCCATGTAGCCGAGGGGGCACACGCATCTGCAATCAGGTTCCATTAGCGTCTAAGCCGCGGCTCGCGGCGGCGTCGGCGACCAAGCGGATCGCTCGAGAGCTTGTCTCACCTGTAGTTGCCGTCCTCCTTCGTCATGCTGATGCAAGTTGCATTGTTGCGGCATGTTACAGGATGCTCGTCGCAGTATGTCAGCTTCTCGTCGCAGAGGTCGCCCGCCCAGCCTGGCTCGCAGCGGCACTCCCATGGACGCTTGCAGGACCCGTGGACGCAGCCGGGATAACCGACGCATTCGGTGCAGTTCGGACCTGTCCAGCCGACGCGGCACCTGCAGGTGCCCGGGCGACGACAGCCGCCGTGCTCGCGGCTGCATCCTTGCGAGCAGAGTGCTGTGCGGAAGGAAACGCGAACTTTAGAGGATCGAGGAAACTTGGGGGAACTTTGTTGCACCTGCTATGGATGCTAGAGGTCTCGCTTCATTTAACAAGCTTTCGTAGAACAGGACGTTCTTAAATGCGGTTTATGCTGTCGGTTAAAAGTTTACGCGAATACATTTTAGATAGATATTGTTTTGAGATTTTTTTCTAAGGACGGACTTGCACGTAATGTCAGTCGTTTGGAGGGGGTACGATACATCTTTATACAAGATAAAAATGTTTTGCATCGATTGCAAGCGATAGGAGTCAAATAAAATTTTTGTCGCAAAATTATTGTACAAGCGGGAAATGAGGGGTTCCTGAGGTGATTTGAAGCAACTTTTTCCTCTACGAAAATTTTCTACGACGCGCCGTTTACGTATTATTAACGAAAAACAGTGACCAATGAGGGGTGAGATTCGCTGGCGCTGAGCGGCCGAGCCAACGAGCGCACGGAACCCAGTTGCGCTCACTGGCTCGGCCGTCTCGCGCTAGTCGAGCGCTCGCCTCTCATTGGTCAACGTTTTTCGTTAATAACTCATAAACGAAGTCGCGGATTGCATTTTCGCTAAGGAAAAAGTTACTTCAAATAACCTCAGGAACCTCGGGAATCTCTCGCTTATACAATAATTTTGGGACACCCTGTGTAAACCACCTGGCTTCCGATATGTTTGTTTTTGCTAGGATTTTTAGAGAATGTTTAAATTAACGAATACGATGGCATTTTTGCTTTGTTTACCACCTAAGAATCGTTTGAATTTTTTAGTCAAGTCTAACAGCCTAATCGCTACAATATGAAGGACCACTTACGCGTTTGGCAAAGAAGACCAGTCCATCCAGGTTCGCAGCGACATTCGAGAGGTCCTTGACATGTCCCGTGTACACATCCTGGTAGAACGGCGCACTGTTTGCACTTCGGTCCTTGCCAACCCAAACGACACCTGTGAGAAAGATCAACGACAAATTAACTCAATTAGAGGCTCCATCGTTTGTCTTCACTACTCTCAGATTTCAGCACGTAAGAAATCTTAAATTGCGGGTTCGTTAACCGTGCGATAATAAAATTAATTGACGAGTATGGTTGACGTTAACTTCTTAATTTTTCTAAAAGTGAAATAAGATTGAAATGAAAGACATTTAAAAGGTTTTGCAAAATTTTAATTGTTAGTTGTATTAGCGTTTATGTCGGATGTTTAATCATTGCCAGTCATCTATAATATATTACAAAAATCAAATCTGTCAGATTACGGATTCCAGGTTTTTTTCGCTGATAATTATTGAGATTGTAAAGATATTAGGCGTTCGCGGATTTTAAAAATAATTTTCCTTGAAAAAGAAAATGTTATATTGTTACATGAAAGAAGTATTATTTTTTTCATGTAACAATCAATGTTATATTATTAATTAGAGATTCCTGAAGTCATTCGAAGCAACTTTTTGCTTTACAAAAATTTTCTCCGAGGCATCGTTAACGAATTATTGACAAAAAACACTGACCAATGAGAGGCGAGCTCGGCAGGCGCGCGGCGGTCAAGCCAACGAGCGCACGAAGCCCAGTTCCGCTTTATTGGCTCGGCCGCTTAACGCCAAGCGAGCTCGCCCCTCATTGGTCAGTGTTTTTCGTCAATAATTCGTTAACGAAGCTTTGGAGAAAATTTTTGTAAAGGGAAAAGTTGCTTCAAATCATCTCAGGAATCCCTCATTTCCCGGAAATGCCATAATTTTGGGACGCCCTGTACAATTACCGATTGTCAATAACTATAAAAACGAGACGCAAGACTCGAATAATCGTATCTCCTCTCCCCAAATTGTCCATTTTTGTTTGGAAGCTGAGGAACAATTCGAGAGAATTTACTGTATTTTCTTTTAATTTATTTAAAATTTCCATTTTTGTGCGCAATCTGAGCGCGAATTAGAGAGAAATTATTATACAAGGCTCGAACAAACGTGTCTCCTCTTCCCAAATCGTCCATTTTTGTTTGGAAGCTGAGGGACAATTGTAGAGAATTTACTGTACAAAACTGAGTAAAAACAAATTAAGTAAAAAAGGAAAAGACTCAAAGAGTCCGAGAATATAAGCTTCGCTCTCGAGTGAGGCACCACTAAAAATCCTTTATATCGCATCTCAAACTAATGTTTGCATCATCGAGTTCGTTTACAATTTCTAAAACTGTTGCAAGAGTCGCGAGATATCAATCTTCGCGCAGAGAATTCATCAGAATTAACCGTACTTATAAAATCTGTAATCCGACAATCGAGCGGAACGCGCCACCGGATTTCGTATTTCAGACACGCGGCAGCCAACGTCCGAAGCAATCGATTATCCAATTAGCAACGGAATGATGCGAATCGGGTAATCCTCTGTATCGTCCGCGTTCATTGAAATCGGTGCGTGACGGCTCGCGCGGTTCTCCCGTTGTCGGAAAAGCAGCGCGTTTTAGGGTCCGTCCGCGCCCGCCCCAAATTGCCGGGCTGCGAACGTTAATGGAACGAGGGTCGAGCAAACGGGCGGTTTCATTGCTTCGATTCGCCGCTACCGGGTCTGATAACCGCTCATTACTCCGCCATTACGCGTCGCTCTTTACCTGCACTCGCCGGGCTTCTCGCAGTACCCCTGGCTGGCCAGACAATCGGTCGCGCAAATCGGCTCCGAGCAGAACATACCTTTCCATCCTGGGTCGCAGGAACACTCGAAGCTCACGTTACAGCTGAAAGTGAAAATCCGGCTTGTCAGTGTCCGCCGCCGCGGGATGGAATTACTGTTCGCAACGGACGTACACGGAGATATACCGCACCGACAGGAACAAACGTTTCGTGTTACGGGGAAATTAGGATCGGCAATGGCCAAGGCGGAATCGGTGTCTGATTCGCGTTCGATCCGTTTTTCTCGACACGGCCGCGTTTAACCGATCGGCCGTGTCGAGCTCTTTAACCGGCGAGCCGCTGGTGACGGATCTCTGCGGTCGTTCCAGGGAAACCGTATCGCGTGATCAACGTGACGATCGGGAAACGAGCTTACGTTTTTTTCCTTTTTATGCGGTTCTAGCGAATAGGGTTTTTTTTGACGCTTAAGGTGTAACTTCAACGGGTTGGGCGATTATCTTGGTACGATTGTTGGAACTGCTGACGTGTGTCTGGTATCACTGTTATCACCAAACATTTTCGCTATGATGTAAAGCAATAATATTTATTGCGCAAGACATTAATTTTTTTTTTATTTTGACACTGTGACTAACAGGGAACTCTGGGTATGTGTTCCCTTCCGATTCTTTTCGTTTTCACATATGTTTCGAGTACTAAAGAAACGCGGCGTGTGTTTTTCTTTTTATATCGGACGTAATTCGATTCGAAGGGGTGAAACGCACCCCGAAATGTTTAGCGTTTGATATTCAAATTCAAGAGAATTCCATATTTCCGCAAGACATTTCAATTATTCTCGAATAATTAAAAATAAATAAATCAGAAAAGTGAATATGTAATAATAGTGTAATAATAAAGTAAATGAATAAAAAATATATGAAATAAATAAATAATATAATAATAAATTAAATAAATAAAAGATATAATAATAAATTAAATAAATAGAAAATATAATAATAAAGTAAATAAATACAAAATATATATATAATTAAATTACATCGAATTACCGCCAATTAAACAGAACGCGTGTCGCTTAGTTTTTTGAGTACTACACATACGTGAAAACGAAAAAAGTCGGAGGAGGACACTTAGTGCTCCTTGCGAGTAATTGTTCTATTAACCGAACGTGCTCGCGTAAGAAATTCTTTTGCGACGACTACGACCTACTCTACTACAAGAACTCTATATTACATTGTAATACAAAATAGATTATTCTATCATAATATAATACAGATTTTAAACAGCCTTTAACTAAAGACTTAACTAAGTCTGCGAATGCTTCCAGTAAGTTCTCTACAGTAAGTTCTCCCTAATTGACGCTCAGCTTGGAAACGAAAATGCACAATCTGGGAAGAGAGCATGCGATTATTCGAGCCTTGCGGCTCATTTTTATAGTTGCCGATTGTCGATAATTATAAAAACGAGAGGCGCAATGCTCGAACAATCGTATCTCCTCTTCCCAAATCGTCCATTTTTGTTCCCAAACTGAGCGTCAATTAGGGAGAATTTACTGTACTTATCACTCCAAGCCTAATGCTCGAGATTTTTCATGCTCCACACAAGTAAGGAGTTATTTTTCGGCGTTATCTACTTTATACTTTTCAATCCTTAATCCTCCATTACTTTTAACCGAAAAACAATAATATTTCACGCTTCTAAACAGTTAATTTTTACATCCGTCTCAACAATTCGCTGTTACATCCTCCGCAAGGACATTTCGAATCGAACATACATCGTCAACGAATCTCCGAAAGCACGTTCCGCGTATATTACACAACAAGTTACAAACGTGTTAATGAACGTTTGTGAAAATGTTGACGCCGAGAAAAGGGACGCGCCGCGGAGAGCGGAAATTCGTTTCTTGTACCGATCTCGCCATTGATCGACGGTCTCGGATGACCAATACCTCTGATTGCCTCGTCGATCAATCAACAAAACGATTTCGTTTACGGTTCGACCTTCTGTTCCTCGTTTTGGCCGGGACAGTGCGCGCAAGAACAAAGAGAGAGAGAGAGAGAGAGAGAGAGAAAAGAAGAAGAAGCAGAACGTCGAAATGACAAGTTACCTGCCATGCTGACATCCCGGCAGAGCCACACACTTGTCGCAGAGCTCGCCATAGAAGCCCAATTTGCAGCGACATTCGCCGGGTCGACGGCAGTAACCCTGAAGAGGGTCGCAGCCCTTCCGACAGATTGGCACGTCGCACAAATCGCCGGTCCATCCTAAAGTGAAGAGGAAAAGAAAGAAGAAAGAAAAGAACACGACGAAGACGAAACGAACACACGCGGCGTACAAAGTGGAATGCCCGTATCATTAGTTTCTTATTGCGCTTTTCACGTGGTTCACCTCGCCCCGCCGGATCTTCCTTTTTGTTTTCTTACCTGGCAAGCATTTTACTTCGCCGGCCTCGTCGCAAACGTAGTGAGAGTTCGGATGCTGAGAAGCCGGTATTTCGCAGGCCTGCTTTTTCCATTTCGGGACGTACCTGTCGGACAAAACGGCATTCCCTAATTACCTCTTCTAACCGTGAAAAGATCGACCGGCCACGATTCTCGGCTCATGATCGAAATAATTGGGTTCAGATTCAGATAGTTCGAGCAAGCTGGGGATTAAAGCACGCGGGATTGCGGAACGCTAGGTGATTCGACGAAAACAACTGGCGCGACAGATTAACGGACGGAGCAATTAATTTAGTTGGGATAAATTTCAACGAGAGAGACGTGAACGTTTTAATCGTAGGCTTAATCACAGGAACTTTCGGAACTCGTTGCTCTCTTCTGAACAATTTGCAATTTGAACAGTTTGTTGCTCCTTTTTCTCATATTTGAGCTGAGATTGCGCAGAAAAATGGACGATTTGGGAAGAGGAGATACGATTATTCGATTGGCAATAACTCGATTATTATTAGGAAATAATTCGATTATTATTAGGCAATAATTCGATTATTATTAGGCAATAATTCGATTATTATTAGGCAATAATTCGATTATTATTAGGCAATAATTCGATTATTATTAGGCAATAATTCGATTATTATTAGGCAATAATTCGATTATTATTAGGCAATAATTCGATTATTATTAGGCAATAATTCGATTATTATTAGGCAATAATTCGATTATTATTAGGCAATAATTCGATTATTATTAGGCAATAATTCGATTATTATTAGGCAATAATTCGATTATTATTAGGCAATAATTCGATTATTATTAGGCAATAATTCGATTATTATTAGGCAATAATTCGATTATTATTAGGCAATAATTCGATTATTATTAGGCAATAATTCGATTATTATTAGGCAATAATTCGATTATTATTAGGCAATAATTCGATTATTATTAGGCAATAATTCGATTATTATTAGGCAATAATTCGATTATTATTAGGCAATAATTCGATTATTATTAGGCAATAATTCGATTATTATTAGGCAATAATTCGATTATTATTAGGCAATAATTCGATAATTAATTGGGCAATAATTCGATTATTAATTTGGTAATAATTCGATTATTATTAGGCAAGAATTCGATTATTATTGGGCAATAATTCGATTATTATTAGGCAATAATTCGATAATTAATTGGGCAATAATTCGATTATTAATTTGGTAATAATTCGATTATTATTAGGCAAGAATTCGATTATTATTGGGCAATAATTCGATTATTATTAGGCAATAATTCGATAATTAATTGGGCAATAATTCGATTATTATTAGGCAATAACTCGATTATTATTAGGCAAGAATTCGATTATTAATTAGGCAAGAATTCGATACCGATTCGCAACAACTATAAAAACGAGACACAAGGCTCGAATAATCGTATTTCCTCTTCCCAAATTGTCCATTTTTGCGCACAGTCTGAGCGCGAATTAGGGAGAAATTACTGTACTTGATAACTTAACCCTTTGCAATCTATCGTGACATATGTGTCCCACCTATCTACTTCGTGCGCCCATTGGGAGAAATGAATCCCGTTTCTCCACAACACACGAATATACCAGTCTCAGAATGCATACCACGCACATCATTGTTTACATATGTATAACCAATGGGACACATGTGTCCCAGCCCTAAAAGGGATAATCGTCTAAAAGGGATAACTTACACTAATAAAATCAACATCCTGTTATTAGCATCTACATGTACGTAAAACTTGACTTCAGATACAACGCGAATTAACGAAAAATAGATCAGACTCGAAAGGGTTAACCGCGCCGCGTTCTTCGGGCGTTTCTCGACTCCATCGCTTTTCCATTTCTTTATCAGCGTCATAATTGAGTAATACTCGATCCATTCAAGTCTACGTTTTATGAACGATGATCTCGCTGATGCTACTTTCCCAACACTATTACGAATGTATCACGATAACGTTAACGTTTAACCTGATTTCTCCCGAAGACTTCCTTTCAGACTTCCTGGTTATTTCGTTTTATACTTTGATAGCATTTGCAAAATGATCTCGCATTAAACTCTCGATCAAAATATCCCGTGGAAACACATGATGACGCATAAAAATGATCAGACTGTCCGCTCGGAAAGTAGAAACTTCGCTTTACAATGAACTTAACGACTGGAAGAAGATACAAAAGAGCTCTGTCCAGTCTCTTAGCAAGCTGTCGAGAAAGTTAAATTCGTTCATCGAGAAGCTCGAATCATCTAAAAATATACACTTTAATTACTACACCTAACAAGCATTAAAAGCAACTGACGCGTGCTTTTTAATAAGAATTGACGAGACCGAATTTATTTAGGCTTTTCGTTAGCATACCTGCGTCACGAAGTTCGAGCAAACCATTCGCTGTGAAACAGACTTCCTGATTTTACGAATCTTAACCCTTTCGGTGCCGAGCAAAAGTATCGTGCCTGTGCGAATAATACCGGACGAATTTGACGAATTTGCTAAGATTTGGAAAAAAGCTCATAAAAGCCAAAGTAAGAATGATATTTAGAAAATTCAAAAAGAAGCATATTACGAAACGAAATGAGAATAAAATAACGCCAATTGTATTTAAGTTTTGTATTTTGTTTGATGAAAATCATACGAACAACATAACTATAAAACAATATGAAAAAGAGAAAAATCAATTCTCTTTGTTAGAAACAGTATTTGTACACAAGAAAAATCATCGTTCGATCATAGCTTTACGTATAGATCACCCAGTATGAAGTATATATATTGCGCATTCAATCATTTGTAACAAAATAACCGATATCGGACCACAAAACTAAAGGATAACGCCATGATGCACGGCAAGCGTCAGACGGATCTGCTACAAAACAAGTGAATTAGCTAATATAACGTTACTGAAAACAAATTTCAGTATTATTACAAATATTCATATTTCGTGTTATCTGACCTTTTAGTATGGAGAGACGATATATCGTTGTTCGCAACGCTTGCGAAAAGTGCCAACGACGATCTATCGTTGCGCATTCGACGGCGCCTAATTATTCGGGATTCGTTAGTGTACGCGTTAGTAAGCGTCGATGCTAAATAAATTATTTGTGCGAGTGATTGAAACGTGTAATATTTACTTATTATTATTCGCACAAATAATTTATTTAGCATCGATGCTCACTAACGCGTACACTAACGAATCCCGAATAATTACGCGCCGTCGAATGCGCAACGATAGATCGTCGTCCGCACTTTTCGCAAGCGTTGCGAAATACATCGTCTCTCGGTACTGAAAGGGTTAAAACAGCAAATGCGAGAACATTCGTTCCGACCGTCCCGGTTAACACTAAATCCACCGCGGTCAAAGTGCCCGCTTTCTTATTTCGCAATTCTGCAAAGTTTCGAAACTCTTTCGTGGAAAATGCTCGAATAAGTTACATTATTAGAGCAAGTTTCAAAATGAAAACTTCGCAAAATCTAAATAAATTCGGTCTTCTCACTTTCGTGAAGCAGCGTACACGCCAGTTAATATTACTGCTTGGTAGGTTTAGCGTTAAAAGCACCGCGACGAGAGATTCGCAGCTGGTTTTTCCGAAAAGCCGATTCGACGTCGAACGAACGGGAAAGCGAGAGAGTCGGCGCGCCGCTCGTATCGAAGGCAAGTCGTACGAACATCTGGCGTGGATCGCGAGTAAAATAATCGTGCGGAGAACGGTAATTTGGACAGTACCTGGGTCCAGCGGCTAATCCAAAAGGTAGCGCACCGAGTCCTAGAACAGCTGTCACGCCGACGGAAGGGCCATTGTTCAGCAGGCCCAGTTCACCGGGGCCAATTAGAAGGCTGAGACAAGCGACCAGCAGTATCATCTTTGCTTGACTACCGAGTCAAGACTGAGGACGACCGCGTCCAAGGCTTCGCCTTGGATAACGGGACCTTGTTCGAGGTCACGGCACACTTCTTCATCGCGGCCGCGTCGCGATGGTGTGCGCCGTGAAACCCCGCGTCCGTGTCGCCCGCGGCTACAACACCGTCGTGCCCCGCCGTTCGGTTTTTTGTCGACTCACGACGAGTTTATTATTCGCTCGGGAAAGTTCAATGCACCTACCTCTCCTCTCGGGCACGCCGCGAACCGGCGGCGTCGTCCTTACGCGGCGTCCGCCGCGACCGCGGCGTGGAAACGGTCGTTCCTGGAACTTTCGCGGGAGGACCACGTAAGCTCTCTTTTCTGCCGCCTGGAATTCGGCGGAATTCCCCGGGGCGGGATCGGCGCATCAGTTTTACCGGTTTCGCCGATCGAATAACAGTTCTCCGATCGCGAACTTTTTCCGCGCTCCCGGCTGTAATTCGGCCGCCGCGCGACGAATCCGCGCGAATACGCGACCGTATGAGGGTGCGTTGTCTAATAGGGCGACCGTTTTATCGGGAACAGCTTGTGTCGGCGACACGCGAGAAAGCTTCTTCGTGACCGGACTATGTGCGAAAGTTACGCTCGATAATCTCTCTTCGAGCATTCATTGCGCCGGTTATTGTTGTCGACGACGAGGCCCGCGGATCTTTCATGCGCAATCGAAGCGTTCCGCATCGATCGTTGTACACTGGAATCGAATGGACATGCGTTTCTTTCTTGGAGAATTTTCTGTCGGGGTTAAACGGCTGTTTAAATTCTTTTCATTTTTCCAACGTTTTATGTCTTATTTATACGTTCTTGTTGAGAGTGCTTGAAAGATCCTTTATACAGGGTGGGCCGGAATTCGTGGTACAAGCATAATTCTATAGTTCTAATTCTATGGAAAAATAAGAGAAAGTTTTGGTACAGGATTCTTTCATCCAGTGCTCCGTTTGCGAGAAAATCGACTTTAAAGACTTTCTTTGTTAAGGATTTAGTTGTCGTCGACTCTTCTTCTAGCAGTTGCCTCCGTCAGAGACAACGTATACAGTTCTAATTCTATAGAAAAATAAGAAAAAGTTTTGGTATAGGATTTTTTCATCCAGTGCTCAGTTTTCGAGAAAATCGACTATACAGACACTGCATTTCTTTGTTAAGGATTTAATTGTCGATTCTTCTTCCAGCAGTTGCCTTCGTCAGAGACAGCGTTTCCGGACATTGACAATGATGGAAACATTCCGTTTACTGCGCATAGTTTGCGACAATTAACCCTTTGCACTCGAGTGGTGACTCTGAGGCACCGCTGAAATTGTTACACCGCGTTCCAAGATCATTATTAATATATTAATAGGGAGAGATCATTGTTCCAAGATCATTATTAATAATTATTATATTAAGAAAGTTCAGATTGAAAAAATCGTTAAGAACGTAACTGTTACACGAGTCGCCGGAAGACTCAATTTCATACGCGTAAAATGCACTTTGTCACATAAAATGGAAATACTGTGAGTCCGAAATATTATTTTAGATTTACAGTTAAAATGGCTTCGAGTGCAGAGGGTTAATGCTTGTAAACTCTGTCTCGAACGGAGGCAACTGCGGTAAAATAATAGACGACGATAAGAAAATATTACACCAAATTTTGTTTTCTTATTTTTTCAGGTAGAATCACCCCCTGCTCGGTCGTACTACGAATTCCGGTACACCCTGTATAAAATAGACGAACAGAAGTTTTGTTAATGCGAAATTTCATTAGTGACATAAATGCGTAAAGACCCGCAGCAGCGTATCTAATGGCAATAGAAATTTGAACTTACCTTGTCAGACGCGCGGTGATAGCAAGGAAATCATTTTCTAATTTAACCCCGAAACGGTACGATACATTTAAAAACGCCATAGAATACTTAAGAATTTTAAAGTTCCATCAGAAGGTTAAATTTGAGGTAGAGATGACAGTATCTTCGATTTTCATGTGATCATTTTCTACTATTTAAATGCTATTTTACGATATGAAACTAAAATTATCAATTCTACATCTTTTTTAATTAAATAATATGTTCATCACATCATTTTATACTTATTCTATGTAATCGCTTCCAAAAAAGGAATTTAGGAAGTTAATCATATATTTTCTTATTATATTGATTTATCGCAATTATATCGATTTGATTGGCAATTATATCGGAAACAAATTAAACCTTCAAAA